TGCGCGAATTTTAGTTTCTGGGTCCCTGAGAAGGGAACAGAGGGCCCCCGCCTCCTCCAAATTCGCCAGCATCCTGGCCTTTTTGTCTCCGATTGTAAAACTGGGAATGCCTTCCGAAGGTTGTCGGTGGTGGTGGGGAATGTAGTCTTGAAAGCGGTTCTCCTTGGCGTGTGTGCACGGGAACACTAAGATAATAAAATTTTCTTCCGCGTTTTCCTCCAACAAGGCTTTCATTAATTATCAACCTTGGTGCTAATGTTGCTCTCCTGCGCAGACATTTTAAACAGTATTAGTGACACACCAGTGTTGGTTGTGGAATATGTCAGTCTTCAAGTTTTTAAAATGGATTTAATTTCGTGCTGTAAGGTTTTTTAGAAGACAAGTCAGCGTTCTCTTGATTTATTTGAGTCGTTTGGCATTGGAACTAATTTGACTTTTTCTTTGTTGAATTCTCTTACCAGCATAAATGCATCCAGACATTTTAGCACAATCACTGTACTTTTCCTGTTAATGTGTTAGTGGTGAGTATGTATGCAGCCTTAATGGAGTTCTTGCAGAATCACAAAATCTCTCATCTTGATCCAGATAATTCAGAAATGTTCGTGGAATGAGGGTGAGGGTATTTTTTTGTTAGAACAAACCAGCCTGGAGTGTTTTGTGATAAAACCTTGTGGAACTATGCACTCTTACACCTAAATCTTGTGTCTTTTGTGTTGAATGAAGGAATACTTACTGAATACTTGTGGCAGATACTGTGCTAGGTTCACTATTTTATTTGAACAACTATCTTGAAGGAGGAAAATATGGTTATCTTTTTTTTCAGTGAGAATATTTTGAAGTGAAGTCAATTCCTAAGGTCAGACTTAAGATTGTAGACTTAGATCCTATTTCAAATACTGCATCTCTTTTCCATTACACTCTTTTTCTTGAGTAAGGTTTTTAACCATCTTAGAATTTTATCATGTTTTAGCGTTAGGCTGTCTCAGAAACATTTTCAATTTGAATGGTCATAATTTTAGAAATGCCATAGAGGGCGTATTTTACCAAGTATCTTAGTGTGGTAGAAGGACTAATGTTCTTTAAAAAAAAAAAAAAAAAAAAAAAGACTTCTGTTGATTCCTGAATATTTTCATGCTCTTTTGGAGCAAAAGGCTTTACAATATACAACTGTGAAAATTAACATGAATTCAGAGGCTTAGGAAGCCAAAAGAGAAATTAGGTCAGAACTAAAAGAAATAAGACCATAATAAATAACAGAAAGTACTGGCCCTACAGCATCATTACTGTGACACACCTGATTGTGACTGCACCAGCTGATAGGTAAACATGTCTCAAGAGAGGCTCAGAATTGCACCTCACACTTTCTTACCTTTAAAACAAAAATAAACTTCTACAATGTGGACTGAAAAAATTATTTAGGCTTAGGACATTGCAACCAAAGGGTCTTTGTTTTTCCTACCTGGTAAAATTTTTACTAGTGTAGGTCACTTGGATCTGGTAATTTATTTCTGTCATTGCAACAGACTTAACTTCACCAATGTTTCCTTCATGTGAAATGCTGAGTCTTCTTACAGTGATTTTCCTTTTCTAAGTAAAATATAAATATAATCGAATTAGGATCCTGGTGTATCCTAGTAAGAATTTAATCTGTATTGTACATTACTGTCATTTAACAAATGTTAACAGTGTTGGATTTATAGAGATCTTGTTTGAAATGATAATATTTGAATAACGATTTTTTAGACTTAGTGCTTTAGAAGATTGAAAATTGTCCTTTGTTTTCATTTCATTAATCAGCTCATTAGGAATTTTGCTTTCTGCAGAACCCTTTTTTAGGCATTATGTGGAAGATATAAAGATGAATAATGGGGCTTGTGTGGTACCTTTAAGAGTAGGTGTGCTTTTGGTAGACAGATAATAGGTGCAATTGACAGTTTGAGTTGTGGAATCTAGCCCTGGAAGAATACTTGAGTGGCAAATTAGCGAATTCTAAAGTGACTGAGTTTATTGTAGGAAATAAGAGAAAATGGGGTTGGTGAAAGGAAAGAGGGAGATGGCACTGGATAAGGTTTTTATTCTGGACCTTCTATTCACAGGCCTCTGCAGCCTAGCCAAGATGGATCTGCCCTGTTTTTGCACAGCAAGAAGTTGATCTTGTGAGTCATTTCCATATTGTAAATAGCCAACAGGTTTTATAGCTTTTCCTCTGTCTCTTCTGAAGGCAGGGCTTCTCATAGTACTGGTGTCACTCAATATCTTGAGTTCATCCATGATGAGGATTCTCTTTACGGTCCTGTAAGCACCTTTATTGTTCCCTTCCTGGGACTGTACCATCACAGTCCTAGCAATGAACTTCAGATGTTTTCCATAACCTTGGATTTCAGTCTTTACTATGTAGTAACCTATGCTCATGGGACCCAGCTGACTCCCAGCCATAGATGATGAGATCTTAAAGATATCTTAAAGTTCAATCTTGGAGACTGAATGAGGTAGGTGGAATTTGGATTTGAGTGACTTCTGAGACAGGGTTTGGTAGTTGATTTGGTATTTGTGTAGTTAATCCCGAGACTTTCTGCTGGGGAGTCTGAGAAGATGGTGGTGCTCTTAGAGAGATGGAATATTACAGACAAAGCGGGTTGATTAGTGAAAAGTAGTGAGTTCTGTTTGGACTTAAGTTTTTGCTGCCTGTAGGCCATTGGGGTACATCCAGAAAGCATCTTGAAATTTATGAGATTATAAAGAGATAAAAATTGTGTAAGCTCTTGTCTTGCTTTGAAGAACAGATACTTACTTGAGGTTATTGACTAGGTGAAATTGCAAGGAGATGTTGTATGTCTTTATCTTTTTAGTATATAATCCATGGTATTTAATAGATTTTCAGAGGGATTCATTATCCCAGAAAGATTAAAAACCACTAAAGTAGATCAGAAAAACCAAAGAGGTTATTGGCAAATAAATGGTTTTAAGAAGTGGGCAAAATAAGAGAAAGCTGAGAATTAATAAAATGTATATAAATCAAGAAAATAGAATAAAAGGTAATATAAGGAGAAATTGAAGTTTTATGCTTGATCATCTTATTAACTACTATTAAGAATGATACATCAATATTTTGAATACATTGAGTGTGAAGCACTTTGAATGTGACTTAGCGGTTGTAAGATCATCTCTACAGATAAACTAGTTGAAGTTTTCAGAGTGGACAAGATGAGAAAAATGTGAGAATTGAGCCAAAAGAATATTAACATTCATGTTACAGAAGAAGTGTTGTTAGAGAGATCAGATGGAGTGTGCATTATTTAAGGAGCCAAAGGAAATAGAGGAATTGCTGTTGGTCATTAAGGAATTGCTGTTGAATACTATGGAGGGCAAATAGTATGGTTTGAAGAGACCTATTAGATTTGACTTTCAATTCTCTTAAAAAGGGAGATTGCTCCAACCAAAATTTTATTGTGATCACTTCCCTCATGGTACAGATCCTGTCCGACCATCTAGATTTTTGTGATTATGGCAGACTAGTAGGACTACCACCTGCTTAGCACTTTGTTTTAGATACATCAGTTAATCCTCCTAACCAAAAGTGGTTGGTTACCTTATAAATTAGTGAGGTAACTGGAGACAGGTTAGTTAACTTGCCCAAGTATACATGCCTCATCAGTGATAAAGCATCCCAGTCTGTCTAGTAGAGTTTTCAGTTGCAGAAAGTGTTGTCTGCTTTTGCTTCTATTACTTTTTTGACTTTTTAAAGACATTTTCATGCTGGGTTATTGTCATAGAAATCATATGGTGAGCATCTATTAATGTGCCAGGACGTACATAGTCCTTGCCCTTTAGTAGTGCTTAGTCTAAATAGTGAGAGGGGGTTGGGCATTGATAATGATATAGACTCTCCCAGTGCTGTATAGGAGGAATGTGTTCAGTACTGTGAAAGAAAGCTCTGAGTGTTGTGGGCTTTGTATGGCTTCACAATCTTTTACACTGGGTGTTGATGCATATATGATTAGGTGTTTGTCCTTGAGAAATGTATTCTAGGTGGAAGAAAATGTACATGCAAAGGCACATGGTATGAAGATACCACATCAGGTCAGGGAAAAACACAAGTTGATCAGTATGGTGGGTCATAAGCTGCCTTAGGAAGATAGCTGGAATTGAGCATATTATTATTATTGGACTCAATTTTGTAGGTTAAAGGTCATTAAAGAATGGCCCCCTTTTGCTTAGTTCTTCATCAAATTTTTTGAGTAGGCTCACCGTCTTTGTTTCTATTTTCTGCCTATCTAGAAGTACCTTTTCTTTCCGCTCCCTTCCCCTCCCTCCCCCTCTCCTCTCTCCCCCTCTCCTCCCCTCCCCTCTTCCATAACTTTCCCTTATTGTGCTGTTAATAGCGCTCTCCTTGAAACTCTACTGGATATTTGTAACCAACTGTTAGTATATGCTACTATCAGTGTCTATGTTATATAAACTAAAGAAAAGATAAAAATCATGTGTCAGCCTGAAGATTGAATAAATAAGAAAAATGAAACCTTGGATGAGGTAATAGAACTAATAGACTTAATAATTATAAAACACTCCACACATAGAAAACTGCAGGCACAAATCTTTTTAAGTGCACAAGAACATTTTTAAGAAAAACCGTATGTTGGGATACAAGACAGTTGTCAGTAACATTGAAAAGATTGGAATCATCCCAAGTATTCATCTTGAAAATGCCATAAAGCCAGAATTCAACTAAATTTTTAAAAATTGCAAAAACATCACATGGCAAGTAAATATGGTGTTTTTATTGCCTTTTGGATTGAAGAGAAAAGTAAGAGAAATAGAAAAATACTTCAAGATTAATACAAATGAACCAACAAGCTATCAGAATTTATGGGATACTGGAAAATGGACTTAAGAGGGAAGATAATTGCAATACCTGAGGAAGCAAGAAAAATCCCAAATAAACAACTTAATATTATACCTTCAAGTAACTTGAAAAAAAGAGGAGCAAACAAGATCAAGAGTTAGTAGAAGGAAGAAAATAATAAAAATAAGAGTAGGGAAATAAATGAAATAGAAGTCAAAAGAACCATACAAAAGATCAGTGAAATTAAAAGATGGTTCTTCAAGAAGATAAAATTGGTAAACCTCTAGTTAGGCTAACAATGGGGAGGGAGAATTCTAAATGAAAGTAGAAATCACCATAAGGAATCAAGAGAGATTACTGTGAACAACTATGCTGATAAATTTGATAATCTCAAAGAGATGGACAGGTTTCTAGACCTAAATAGAGTTTGCCAAGATTAAGCCAGAAAGAAATAGAAGTGTTGAATAAATGGACTATAATCATTGAAATTGGAACAGCAATTAAAAAAAAAATCACCCCAAAACAAAGTCCAGGGCCAGATAGTATTTCAAGGAAATACTGTCAAACCTTTAAAGAAGAAAATACCCAATACTTATATATAAAGAGCAGGTTTGTTAGGGAAAAGGACAGAGGAATAAAAGAACACTAGCATAGGCACAAGCAGGCAGAAAGAGCTGCCCAGAAAGGGGCAAGTTTGCTGAGAGGCCTGCATGGTTGCAGGCAGGGGGCCTTAGGAGAGCTGCCTTTGTTGAGGGAGGTCAGTGAAGAGAAGCCCTGGCATGGTACCGGTCATGGGCAGACAGGAGGCTGCTGCCCTGCAGGAGAGAAGATGGAAAGAAGCACCTGCATAGTCACAGGCGGGCAGAGGACTGCTGTTTGCTGAAATTATTTTCTAAAAATCCAAGAAACAGGGAATCCCTCATACATTTTATGATGCTAACACTACCCTAAAGCCAAAATCAGACAACGAGCACAAGAAAATTAGACTTCATCCCTGATGAATACTGATGCAAAAAATCTTTTACAAAATGCTAGCAAATTGAATTCAACAATATATCACAAAGATTATTCGTTATGATCAAGTAGGTTTATTTACAAGGATGGTTTGATAGCCGTATATCAAGGCAATATGTTACATCAACAAAAGTTAAAAATCATGTATCAGAAAACTTTTGACAGTATTTGGCATTTATGTAAAATACTTGTTTTACGATAAACAAGGTGGGAGTAGAAGGAATTTAACTCAATATAACAAAGGCTATATGTCACATCTATCACCAGTAAAATGCTTAGTGTTGGTATACTGAAATTTTTCCTTTAAGATCAGCAACAAGACAAGGTTGTCCACTTTTACTACCTCTGCTTAATTTAGTGTTTGAGATTTTATCTAGGTCAGACAACAACAATGTGTGGCCAGATTAGAAAAATCTTACAGACCATATAATACTATTGATGGGAAACCCTAGATTCCACCAAAAACTATTAGATACAGTAAATGAACACAACAAAATGATAGGTTAAAAAAAAAAGCATATAAAAATCAATAGCATTTTCATATACAAATAATGAAGGAAAAGTAAAAAAAAAAACTAAGAATAAATCATTCACAATTGCTTCTAAAAAAATCAAATACCTAGGAATTAATTAAGATGAATGACTTAATGAAACTCAGCTAAAGGAAATAGGTCATGACTTAGAGAGATGGATAACATTCTGTGCTTATGGATGGGGAGAATTGTATAGTCAAAGTGACTGTCCTGCCCAAAGTGATAGATAAATATAATACAATCCCTATTAAGACACCAACAATTTTTGTTTTTTAGAAAAATGGAACCATAAAAGCCCTCAAATAAAAGCCCTGAAAATTTTGAGGGAAAAAAGGGAGAAATGGGAGCATCATGTTACCTGAACTTAAATATACTGTGAAGCAGCAGTAATTAAAGCATGTGGTGGGATAAAAAATTGATACCAATAGGGCCCTTCCTGGTGGTGCAACAGGTTAAGATGTAGCACTGCAAGCCAGCCGCTTCAGTTCGAGTTCCATCCCCAGCCCAGAGGCAATCCACATGATATGTCCGCTGCTCCCCTCAGCAGTGTACTTCGTCAGTCTGCCTGCTTTGCTCCCCACTCTGTCTTCTGGTGAATCCTCTTACTGCCCCTGTACCTCTGGCCTGTACCCCAGTTCTGTAT